TACACCGGCACTTCTCCCGTCTTAAAACAGAGCAAAACAAAACTCTCTTTACATCACACTCTTCTAGCTCCTGCCTTCATTCCTACTCCGCTTCATGTTGAAACTCTAGAGGGTAGTCTGTACCTACAGTCTAGTCCGCTTCTCCCATTCCCTTATTTTAAAGATCTTTTATAGCTTTTTATCACGGAACATTTCAAACACATCCCCAAACAGAGAGGCTAGAGTAATAAGGCTTGCTCTTCTCATCACCCAGTCTGCCCCAATCACATAGAAGCACAGCCCAGACATCATCCATTCTCTCTTGCCTCCATCAGATACACCTGTGCCTCCTGCCCCCCACCCCCCACTCCCAACTGCTCTGGCAATGCTCACTGATGACCTCCATGTTACCAGCTCATACCTGGTGGTCACTGCTCAGGATTCCACTCACTGGACCTCTGTGGCTTAAACAGTCAGTCGCTGTCCCTCTTGGAAACACCTGTTTCATTTTCCACTTGATTTCCAAGGTCCCACACTGCCCCGGTTGGCTTGCTTCCAGGTCCCTCCCCATCGCCCCAACCTGGGGTGCCTGGTGGCTCCCTCCTGGAGCCTTGCTCACCTGGGGAGCGACACCCTCCCTAGCTGATTTCATGTGGTCTCCTGGGTCCACCCGCCAAAAACTCCCATGTTTCTATCCCCAGCCTGGACTTCTCTCCTGAACTTGACATTTCCGCATGGATGCTTTGATTAATAAGCATCTACAACTTAATCACCCCCAAGCTCTGCCTAAACCCTGTTCCTCCCGCAAATTTCCAGCTTCCTAATGCGTCAGGCCAAGACCATTTTGTCTTCCATCTTGCCCAGAATGGCAACCAGATCTTTACTAAATGGCCCACTGGCCCTGTGTGCTCAAGCCCCAGCCCTTGTCTGACCCCACACAATCTGGCTCCTTCTGCTCCTTCCTCCCAGCTTGGCCTGGAAGACCCCTCCCCCAAAATCCAGGCAGTTTCGATCCTTTACCCCCTTCGGTCTGTGCCCAAAGGTCGCTTTTTCTCTGCAGCCTTGTGGGTGTTCTTTTATGAACGGCAACTCCCTCCCTTTCCCTGTCCTGTTTTGTTCCATAGCTTTGAACCTATCTGACACGCTTCGTATTTTTACTTCTTTCTATTGCTTCTCACCGGCCTGTAAGTGTGTCTGCTGTATCCTCAGTGCCTAGAACAGTGTCTGGTACACAGCAGGTGCTCATCATACACGTTTCCCTGAAAGAGTCAATGACCAGGGGAGTAGCAGTGTCTGCCTCTTACCGAAGGGACCCTTGCTTTGGAGCTCCTGCCTTTTAGCAGAGGCTGCAGAGATTGCTCTCGGTTCCAAACTCACTCGCTTGCTCTCTCTCTCACACATACACACCCCCTCTATCTGGCTCCTGGCATGGTGGAAAGGGCCCGGGAAACAGAAATAGCAGAGGGGAGACAAGCAAGGACCAGTTCATCACATTCACTATGCAAAATGCCTGAGTGCAGAAGACAGCCACAGTAACCATGTGAGCTTTGCTGTCACCACCACTCACTGCCCATAAGGACTCTCCCTGGCCTGGCCTGGGATACACCGGTGGAGCTCCCTGGAATTAATGTTACTGACATATGGAAGATTCTGGAAAGAATCTTCCCAGCTCTCTTGACCAAACTCAAAAACAGCCAGCCCGACTGAAACTTTAACCAAAATGCTGAAGTCGAATAGGGTCTCTGTAAGTGTGTTCCTTTAGATGGACCCTGAAAATGTATCTGGGCAGACTGAGCTTCCTTTCTGGAAGGAAAGCCCCTGCTCATCTGGGGGTGGTGTCTTACTCCTGGTCCATCTTCTTTTCGTGTGACTTCCTGTCCTGCAAAAATGTGTGCCTCTAGTAAGAACAGCCACTGGCGCTGGAGTGCTTCCCATGCGTGCGTCCCGAGGAACCGCTGCCCATTGAGCCCCCAGCCCTGTCCTCCTCCCTCCATCCCCAGCAGGATGTGCGTGGTTGGGAGCATGAGCTTTGGAAACAGGCCTGGATTTGGAATGAAACGGTACCGACTGCCTGACGTTCACTTGTGCAAATTACTCAACTGCTCTACTTTGAGTTTTTCCCCCGCCAAATGGGGATGACAAGAGCTCTCCCACGGGGTCATCATAATGGTGAAAATAAGACGGCATGTGTCGAAATGCTGGTACATAGTAAATGCTCAGCAAATAGGAGCCTTTATCATTGGGTTTCCATCGTGGCAGCCTGGGGGATGCTCTGGTTCCCTCAAGACTGTTCTGGGGTCCTATGTGGGGCGTCTGGGTAATCCTGTCCAATGAACAGAGAAAACGGTGTAGGGGGAACTTGTTCCAAACTCGTCGTCACTCTGATCAGCATCTTCCTTGGCCTTGACTTCCACTTACTCCTGGAGGCTGACTAATGGTTATGTGGCCTCCTAAGCTAAAATATGGGGTCTCCTAACAGGACAGAGATAGATCAGGGAGCTTTGGTGGCTTTGAACCTTCCAATGTCTCACTTCTGCAATCCCATTAACCAAAAAACATCCCCTTGTTTAGGCTTGGTCTCAGAACGTTTAATTACCTGTGTACCTGTGGATCTCATTCTAAAGCATCCTCACCCCCAACTCTCTGAATTTGGATGAGCCACCACTGAAGCCGGAGTGGGTGCACTTCTCTCCCCATGATGCGTGAGGGGGCCTTTGAAATGGCAGACAGGGCTGGCGGCATCCAAGTATCCAAAGAAGGTTCCCAGCGCCGTTCAGAATAGGGACCATCAACGCACGATTCTCAGATAATCAGAGTCTGCTAGAAATACATGTGAAATTCAGTGATGCAGGCTGGAAGGGCAATGGTATGACCTTCTAAAGGAGGCATTTGCTACCCCGTCAGTTCTGAGCGTCACGGTGGGGCCATATGGTGGCCACCAGAAGGCCTATCGCCAATGTAGGAAGAAGAGAAAATGGGAATAAAGGAAGAGGTACCCGACAGGCAGCAGAGGTGAAGCAGAAAGAAATAAATAGAAGAAGAAAAGGAAGGGCACAAAGCACATGTGATGAACAATGGCCCCATGTTCGACACCCCTGGGGAGTTCCCTGCCCATGGCGTAATTCGATGGGGCCGCTTTGCTGAACTTGGTACCACTCAGAGCTGAACTTGGGTTGTTGCTCTGACGGAAGGGAGGATGGAGCTGGGCCCCTTCCTAGAGATCCAGGCTGTGCAGGGAGAAAGAATTCTGATATTAGAAGGAGATCCCCGTTTCCAAAGCTCCCCCCCAGCCCCAGTCTCCTGGCTCATGAAACTTTAGTTATTATCTCAATAGGAAAAGCCACACAAGGTACATTCCTGGAGGAGAGAGGAGGTTTCAGAGGCCGTGAGAGGAAGGGAATGATAAAGAGGATATGGTGGGGGTGATGACTGGCGGGGGTGGTCGGGCCATGCACACACAGGAGGGCTGCATGAGACGCGGACAAGCTAATATCAGGGAAATCAGCAGCAGCCACAGCAAAGCCCCACACCCACAGCGGGACAGAGCCTCCAGGAATGATGGTGACCCAAAGGACAGGTAGGAATAGAGAATCGCCTCTATGTTGCTCTGATGGAGGTCTATCTAGTTCCTTTAGGAGCAGCCTGGTGTCCACCACCCGATAAATGCGCGATCTGGCTCCCCTCTGGCTCGGGTCCCAAGTCCTCTTATTTTCGTCCTTTCTACCCTGCTTTATTCGCACCAGCCCCCTTCCTACTTCTCGGCGCCCCAAGAAAGCTTCTACCTCAGGGCTGCCTTCCTGTCACTTCTGCCTGAGATGCGGGTCTCTGCCCAATTACCACGGTCTCATCCAAGCTGCCTTTCCCTCCAAGACTGGCTCTCTGCCACAGCATTCCCTGCCTCACACCTGCCTGGGGTTTTCCCCTTGCCTGCGTCGTCAAGAATTTATTTTGTCTGCTTCCCCCAGTGGAATAGGTGTTTCACACAAGCAGATTCCATTTTGTTTACTTCTGAATATTGCTCAGCACCGAGCAGGCCTCGTGAAATATTTGTTGAATGAATGTATGAACCCAAAGCGGCAACGTTTACAATATACATATGGAGTTCTTTCGATTGAGCTATTTGGTGTTTCAGTTGCAAGAAGGGGTAGGGGTAAGGGTGGGAAACCAACAACTGCCGTTGAGAAGGCTTGGTAAGAGCTGCCATGTTCTCTTTGAGAAATTCAGATCTGCGGCTCTGCCCCACGGGTTGTAGGAGTGGGGTAGTCAACCTCCAAGAAGGCCCCCAGGGATCCCTGGCACCTGATATTACCGCCCTTGTGTAATTCCTTCCCATCTGGAATAAAGCTGACTTGTGTCACCAATAAGATATTGAGCAAATGACAGTGTGTCACCAACAGGCTTGGTCATAAGAGACATCCGAGCTTCTTTCTTTCTTTTCCTTGGATCACCCCCTCTGGGGAAGCCCAGCCACCACGCTGTGAGGACACGCAAGTAGCCCATGGAGAGAACGTCGTGGGGGTTGGGGAGGGGAACGGAGGCTTCCCGCCAACAGCCAGCACGATGTGCGTGAACGATCTTGGAAGCCGGTCCTCCGCCCCAGTCAAGCCTTCAGATGATGGGAGCCCCTGCTACAATGTTGACTGGAACCTCATGAGAGACCCCAACCCAGAAGCATTTAGCTCAGCTGCTCCCGAATTCCTGGGCTGCCAAAACCATGCCAGATAATACATTTGTTCAGTATTGTTTTAAAATGCAACATTTTATATCTGTGTAATTTGTTGCAGAGTAGATGACGTAGGGGTGGGGGCTGGCTGTCCTAGCTTAGACGGTTATGACTAAGATTGTGTCTTTCGCTGGTTCACCGTGCAGCCCAGCTCCCCTTCTGGTCCCAATTTGATTCTGCAACTTCGAGTAGCCACCTGTGTCCTCAATAAACTTTATTTAGACACAAAGAGACACAACAGAAAATACATACACAGATACAGATATATATATGTATATATATATTTTTCTCTATAGGATGAACAAACATCACACAGGGAATTTAAAAAGTAGTTGCATGGAACGTAAGAAAAAATTGCAAAGTTCCTTGGTCACTCACACTTAAAACAGACACATATTTCAGAGGCAGACAGGGATAGAGCATCCCTACAACAGAATTCACAGTTGATCTATAACAATACACAGGTGTTAGGAAGGTAGTCAGGAGTCAGGGATCCAGTTACTCTTGATATGACAGAATGCTCACAACACTAGGAGGACTCTGTTTAAACAAAAGACAGAATGGAGGATTCCATATCCCCCCCCCCCCCCCCCCTGCACAGATGCTCTGCAAGCTGTCAGCTAGGGCAAAAAGCAGCTCAGCAGAAATGCCACGTAAACGTTCGTCTTGAGGCTTCAAGGTCTGCGTAACCTCTGCCTCTGGGTTCACACCGCGGAGAGTTTATATAGACATACTTAGGGACACTGAAACTCTCGAACATGCACGCTGGCTCTAAGACCCACGGTACAGAACGTTGGCATCAGTTTATAAAATGCAGCTTTCAAACGGAAAAGGGGTAAGAGCCGAGAGGAGAACACGCACTTTGCAAATGGTGCCCCGCCCACTGGCAGTTTCCTACCAGGTTGCCTGTGGTCCTTCCCACAGGGTCCCTGGCCTCTGGGTCCCGCTCCTCGCCAGGGTGGAAGGGGGGGGCGGGAGCGATGTCTCTGGCAAGTCTATGGCCCTCTAACGTCCCACCTGTGACCTGTCAAAAGCCACGTATGTCACCAGGACCAGCTGCCGTGGTACCACCCCTTGCTTCTCCCTGTCCCGGACAAGCCTCTGGCCTCCACATCATCTTCACGTTTCAGAGCGGGGCTCCCCTAGGCAACCTGTGTGTTTTAGTAAAAAATGGTTTCCACTGTACCCTTCGTGTGTCCTCTTCCTAACGTGACAAATCCAGAGGAGATGAAGTTATGGAGATCGGGTCCTCCACTTCGGTAAGCATCCTTCCCATAATGTCCTGCAAGAAGACGGGGCAGAGTTATCCGGAAGACTCATAGCAGCAACAATAAGGCGAGCGAGGCAACTCCCACTCACCCGGCCGGAGTGAGGAAGTCCGTGGCAAACCAGCAGCTAAGGCAGGAGGGAGAATCCGTCAAGAAAAAAAATATATATATTATTTTATAAACACATATGATATATATTACAAATATATATACCACATATATAAAAAGTATATATATCAGGTATATATACATGTACGTGTGCGTATATATACGTGCATATATATATATATGTAGTTGCACAACAAAGACGAAAGTTCTGGAAACGATACACAGAAAGCAGAGGGGAAAGGGGTACATGTGGCTTGATTTTGGCATTTCTGACCGAGCGCACCAGAACATCGGTGTATTTGTCCCCACCATCCTGCCTGTTGTCCCAGCTTCTTCCAGCTTGCCTTACTCATTTGTTTTCTTTCTTTCCAGAGCATGGATGCTGGGCTAAGTCTGGCCGGGTATGCTCTCTCTATGTGCCTGTTGATAAGTCCCACCACATCCTACGGGGCTACCACCTCGCGGCTTAGGAGAGATGCAGTGTCAGCCGACGAAGGTGGGCAGAATGGCGGTTGTCAAACACTGGGAAAATATTTACTGCTTTTCTCTCTCGACTTTCCGCAATAAGATCTTATTTCTTGTCAGCCTAATGTAGCCATCTACCTGTGCGTGGGGCTGGTCTGGGGAAAGGTGAGTGTGGGCGAGGACCCTGAGAGAAGAAATTCAAAGAGAAAGCGAGTAACACTCTGCTTCTGACGTTCGAAATGGGATTTCACAATGCTCTTGAAATACAGGTAGGGTAAAGAAAAAAGGACTCCGTAAATGCCATCCTGAGGCATAGACCTACGAACATGGAGAAAAGCCGTCTTGTTGTTGTGTTGCTACAAGAGCTCATTAAAAACTACTTAGAAGTAAGACAGTGTGCAGAATTATGCAGGATGTATGGTTAGGTTAAAAAGTGGACAGAAAATGGGGCACCTGGGTGGCGCAGCCGACTCTTGGTTTCAGCTCAGGTCATGATTCTCAAGGTCGTGAGATCGAGCTCCGCATAAGCCTCTGCGCTGGGCGTGGAAACTGCTTGAGATTCTCTCTCTCTCTCTCCCCCTCTGCCCCTCCACCCCCTCTCTTTTCCTCTCTAAGAAAAAAAAAAAAGTGGACAGAAAATGCTATATTATATATGATCACAATGCTGTAAAGAAGTCAAACCAGAGCATTAAAAAAAAAATAAAAGATTGAAAGAAAACACATCCAACTGCCAGTAAAAACACTGCCAACTGCCTTCAGATAATTAGAACTTGCGTCTTACTTCTCTCCTTTCAGTGCTTCCATATTTTCCAAGTTTTTTTTCCCTTTAGTAAGTATGTCTTTTTTATAATATAAATAAGTAAAATAAATTGCTAATGAAAAAAAAAGTATGGTAAATGTAAAGACAACCCAAATCACATCTTTTCTTAACAGGGCGCCCTCTGCCTTGGTAGATCTCAAACACAGGTGCATACTGGAACCATCTAGAAGCTTCTAAAAATGCAAATGTCCAGACATAACTCCAGGGATTCTGATTCCGTTGATCGGGGTCTGGGCTTAGGCAATGACATTTTTTAATTCTTATGTTAATTTTTTTATTCTTATGTTAATCCCCATACATTACATCATTAGTTTTAGATGTAGTGTTCCATGATTCATTGTTTGTGCACAACACCCAGTGCTCCATGCAGAATGTGCCCTCCTCAATACCCACCACCAGGCTAACCCATCCTCCCACCCCCCTCCCCTCTAGAACCCTCAGTTTGTTTTTCAGAGTCCATCGTCTCTCATGGTTCGTCTACCCCTCCGATTTCCCCCGCTTCATTCTTCCCCTCCCGCTACCTTCTTCTTCTTCTTTTTTTTTCTTAACATATATAGGCAATGACATTTTTAAGAAGGTCTCTAGCTGATTCTAATGTGCCACCAGGAAAGAGAACCATTGCCCTAGGGTAAATGGAGAGATAACCTAGGTTCAGTTCATTCAGGTGGGTTCAAAGAACACTTGTTGGACCCTCGGGGGTGCTTGGCACCACCCACGATCTAGTAAGTTTTGGGTTCCAGAGTCCTCTCTTCCTTCCCTCCCGGTTCCTTCCTCCTTCTCCCATATCAAGAGTCCTCAAACCTGAGTGTGCATCAGAAAAACCAGGAGGGCATGTTAAAACGGACTGCCGGACCCACTCTCAGAGTTTCTGATTCAGGAGATCTGGGACCAGGGCTCAAGATTTTGCCTTTCTATCAAGTCACCCAGTGAAGCTTATGCTGTCGGGTCTAGGGACCAAACTCTGAGAACCACTGCCCTAGAGCACAAGGAACTTGAGAGAATTTTGCCACCATTTCTGTCATGCCCTCCACTCTGGAAGAGATCCTCATTCTTCAGGGCGCACAGCCTTCCACGAGGAGCTCTCTGGCTACGAAATACTGTGGCCACGACCCAGAATTCGACAGAATAGAATTATTAGAGCTAAGAGACGTCTGCCCAGATCCCAAGCCATGTCAGAGCTCCAGAAACCGTCTCTAGCACCTGGAGCAATGCATCTTCATCAGGGATAAAGGGTTTGGGGGGGAAGGGGTGTGTGGAGGGGTGTGCTGCCGGGAGAGGGGGACCCCTATCCTGGAACATGGTCACTTTCTCCCCACCCCACCCCCAGCAATGGCTGGGCAGGAGAAGGAAGTCACAATTCAGAACTGTCATAAATTTGGACCTCATTAATTCAGAACCTGCGATGCATCCTGCAGAACTGGGGCTGGTTTATTTTTGTGCTCTTTTATAAATAAAATTTTTGATAAACAAATCAATACCGAGGAAGATGGAGCATAAACAGTGCCTGTGTTACTTACAAATCATTCTTATCTGTCAGCTGGAACAAGGTCCCTCAGGACTGAACGTTGCCCCAGTGTCTTGGGGCTCTACTTTGCTTAACGAGCAATGCCAGTTTTCTGATCACCTACTATGCGCCAGGCAGAGAGACAGAGCCTCTGAACATACAGCCTAAGGGTTGGTTTTGGGGTTGTTGTTGTTTTTTTACATCATAGTAGCAAATTTGTAGCATAATGCAGTTTAACAGAGATTTTTCAAAAGGACTATTATCTTAAAATTTTAATCACGACTGCATACACATGTTGTCTATTCTATTATGATGCCCCCATTTACTGATGGAAAAATGGAAGCCAGAGGAAGATGACTGAGCCAATGGTAGTAGCTTCTAGTTCCTCTCACTCCAAACTGCATGTCCCTTCCATCATGCACACCTGGCTCCATGTACTCCCCACAAGAGCCTTGTGAAAAGGTCACGTTCCCCAAGTTCACGGAGCTAGTCAGCAGTAAATCCCCAAGCCCCGCCATCTTTGTACCTCACCTCACGGTCTGAATGGTCACAATAGTGCAGTTGTGACTCTTCTCTGGTGCTTGAACCCAGTGGAAACGCTACCTTGGGAGTGGTCTGCCTGGTGATAAGTAAGTTCATAGAAGCTGGAGCCCAGGTGGGTCAAGCTTCAACACTGAGGCTCTGAGTTGAGTAAAGGTAAAATATGCTGAGGGGTCAAGACCAAGAGCGGTGGCGGGAATAAAGAATGTTATGGTCAAATCGGCTTGGAAAATACTGAGTTACATGACATGAAAAGGAAGCGTGAACACCGAGTCTAGGGATCTGTCAATGAGCACCCACCTGTCTAGGGAGAACTGACAATTTTCAAAGGCATCTCTAAGGACACCTGTGTTGGGAAAGCTGCCCGTGACGCTGAGTGGGAGAAGACAGGGTGAGAGCTTCAGCTTCTGTTGGAGCTGAGGTCCTCACACTTGAGTACTCACTGGATGGCTGAGCCCCAGCCCCGGGATTCCTGATGTACTAGGTCAGAGGTAAGTTCCATGTATGACAAGTTCCCAGGTGATGCCGCTGAAGGCCACAGGCTCAGGGACCACACTTTATGAACCACTGTGTTGGAACGACCGACAGGTCCCTCTTGAGCTGGATCCAGGGCCAATGCTAGGAGGTCAAGGTCCAGAAGGATCCACATTCTCTCTACCCTCCAGAGGAAGGGTTTTGCATGAGCAAGGGCAGCATGATGAGAAGAACGATCAGTAAAACCAAAGCTCTGAGCAGGTGGGTGGGGTGAACAGAGGGAGTCAATGTCTCCTCTCTGCCCCGGTGATGCGTGCAGTCCGGCAGTTGGAGAGATGTGTGATATGAAGGGGTATCACAGAATTCTTTAGACATAACACAAAGAACCATGCCCTTCTCCATCTGGCAGCCACCACCCTAAGTCTATGCCCTTCCACTTGCCATTGAGGCAGGAAGCCAAGCAGTACTCCGCCCAAGAGAAAGAGCATTTCCAGGGAAAGAGCCATACGTCCAGCAGAGCTCCCAGCAGAGGTAAGCGAGAGCTCTGTGAGCACCCTTGCTGAGTAGCATAAGCATGCCCAGGTCCTGATACAGACACACGCATGGCCACGGCCAGGAACAAGGGTGGTTTGAGGCTGCAAAGGGCACCTGCCGCCACCTGCTGAACCCCAACTGCGCAAAGAAGCACCTGGGTGGATACTCTACCCTTGATTCTGCCACTGTTCTCTCACCGACACCAGCATTCAGAAGCCTGAAGTCACAGGGCCAGCACTGAGGTTCAAGTTCAACACCCCCCCCACCCCACAACCGGCAGGAGGCACTGAAAGCTAAAGAGAGGTCTGAGGCTGAGTTCCTGGAGCCTCTGCAAGGCTGGTGGCCCTGGCAAGGCAGCGACTCTGAGTGACTACAGGGCAAGTTTCTCTGTAAAAGAGATTTGCTGCAAGAAACAGGAGGAAAGGAGGTAATATCTGAATGGTGGTTTCAGGTAAGGCGTAAGAGCAGTTTGCCTCTGTGAAGTTAGATCAACAGCCAAGGGAGGGAAAGAGATTGACCAGGATGGTTTGCCTGGGTTGCAAACACAGCCAACAGAGTGTGCATCCTGA